TTTATTTTTAATCAAAGGACCTTTTCATAATATTTTTTGAAATAATTTCAGGTATATTTACATGTTTTCAATTCTGTATATAATTAATTCATCCTCCTATACATTCGGGGTTGTTGCAATTTATTGTGTATTGGTAGTGGTGTATGTTGTTGCTATAGTAACGATATTAAAGGCAAGTGGTGAAAATTTCTATTTTGTGTTATTTGATATGTGTAAGTTTAGTTCAGAATCTTAAAATCTTTTGGTTTCATCACTGCCTCATTAAAGCATGCAGTGTCAAATCGCGAAAAAGCTCTGGTGGCAAGAATGTTCAAGGTCTACAAGAAAAACTTAATTACTAAATTAAATTACTAACCAGACTAAATTTGTATCAAGGGAGTTTGTTTATGAAATCAGTGCTTACCAATTTCTCATTTACACCTACATGTTATAAATTTCATGCTGTTTTAAAGGGATGGTGGTCGTCATGCTGCGCATATGTGACATTTGTGTTGATAAACATTGATTTTCCCACAATCCAATGCGAATTTATAATGGAAATCATAAGTACGAGGTTTGACCATGGCGCGACTTGGACTAATTACCGCCGGTGACTCCTTTGATACCTTCCAATCACCTGAAAAATACTTAATTAAAGCTTGGTAACATCTCAGTCTGTACTCGTTTATCTGCGCAACAGTCAAAGTTGCCATCTGTGTTTAAATGAAACCCATATATCTCGCACATGTGTGATGCAATGTTGCCCTTATGGGTAAAGACCAGTGTTTTACAATACACCACTTGGAAAGAATTCATTGGTACTTTGTTCAATGCCTGGGACTATTGCTCATTTTGCAGTATAGAATTTGATTAGAATGTTACATACTGGTAATGTTTATGATTGACGCAAAATGTTCACGACTGGTTTGTCCTGCCATGCTCTCTATCTCTGTCACTGGGGGTGGGGAGTGGGTGGGGGTGGTTGTTAAATATGCTAATGAGTAGAATGAATTGTAATCTGCCAACCAATAAGAAAGACAGCATTTGGTCTGACTTGTTTCATGTACCTATAACGCATGCATGGTCTGACTAGTAGAATCTGTTGCGCATGCACACGCCTACTTTCGTCTTTGGGAATAATAATAACGCCACTGCATCTTTCACTCATGCAATATAATTATGCTATTTCTCAACGCACGTATACATGCAATTGAAAAGTAAATATACTGGTCAAGTTTCCTCCAACAGTTGTAAATATTGTAAGTGTAAGACCATTGTTTGGCTGATTACATATTTCCGATTATCTGTAATTAGCGAAACAAACCATTTACTAATTAAAATCTTATTATTTTCGGCAAATATTTATGTCATTATATACACGACTGAAAGGTAAATATACTGGTCAAGTTTCGTCCGACAGTTGTAAATATTGCTTATTGTACTGATCTGTAAACTAAAAATTGGCATTCCAGCTCAGCAGCCAATCAGCGACGGCCTAACGCTTAGATGACAATTTCGGTTTCAAATACCCCGGCTTAGTGTTCTAGGTTCTTCGCGTAATTAGGTGTTCGTATGCAAGGGATTTTTCCACACAAAAACGGCCGAATTTTGTTATCGGTTGGCTTAATATAACCTCAATGGATCGCATTTTTGTGAAAGATTGGTATTTTTGTCCAGATTTGTAGGAATCTGAAAAACGCGTTTCACAACTTGTCTCTTATTTAGTTTTATGCGTCATTCAAGATGGCGGTCCCCATATAGTAAATATCGTATTTACATTGTATTTTATTATCACGTGTGCGCCAGCTGACTGTGTGTTCGACATTGTAATATGTCGACTTCCTGAAAATGCACATGGAAACGGGTAACAAGACCAGTGTTAGAAATATTTTCTGAGGCAAATTTAATCCCCACCCAAGGTTATCTTGAAGGACTGCAGGAAATTGACCCTTACCATATCATATTTATGGATTTATTTATGGATTAATCGGTATTCACATGAAGGCGCGACAATGTCATATAAATCATTATTGGACAATTATCCCAGACAAACCTTTCTAACTTAGACATTTTTCCGATTGTTAGACGATAATATCAGAGAAAAAACGAACTGTCCCAATAGTTGCCCAGACAGACCTGTCTAACTTAGACATTTTTAGACATTGTTAGACGATAGTATCGATAATATGGGAGAAAAACGAACTGTTGCAATAGTTGCCCAGACAGACCTGTCTAACTTAGACATTTTTAGACATTGTTAGACGATAGTATCGATAGTATCGGAGAAAAAACGAACTTTCCCAATAGTTGCCCAGACAGACCTGTCTAACTTAGACATTTTTAGACATTGTTAGACGATAGAATCGATAGTATCGGAGAAAAAACGAACTTTCCCAATAGTTGCCCAGACAAACCTGTCTAACTTAGACATTTTTATACATTGTTAGACGATAGTATCGATAATATCGGAGAAAAAACGAACTTTCCCAATAGTTGCCCAGACAAACCTGTCTAACTTAGACATTTTTAGACATTGTTAGACGATAATATCGGAGAAAAACGAACTGTCCCAATAGTTGCCCAGACAGACCTGTCTAACTTAGACATTTTTAGACTTTTTTAGACATTGTTAGACAATATTATCGATAATATCGGAGAAAAACGAACTGTCCCAATAGTTGCTCAGACAGACCTGTCTAACTTAGACATTTTTAGACATTGTTAGACGATATTATCGATAATATCGGAGAAAAACGAATTGTCCCAATAGTTGCTCAGACAGACCTGTCTAACTTAGACATTTTTAGATTTTTTTAGATATCATTAGACGATATTATCAATAATATCGGAGAAAAACGAACTGTCGCAATAGTTGCCCAGACAGACCTGTCTAACTTAGACATTTTTAGACGATAATATCGGATAACGTTAAAAAGTGCAATGTCGCGCCTTCCTCGGTATTCAGCTACCCTAGTGTTTGTATCTAAATCTAAAGATATGCAAAAAACTCGTTTAGCTAGTTAACATGTGAATTTCCCTGCAACTTGAAACATCGCGAAGGGCTCCCCCGACACGGATTTTTGTTTAAACTTTTAATTTTTCCAAGACGCAGCAAACTCTGCTCATGATCGGAGACGTTGTCTCGTTGATAATTCGCCAATTCACCATAATCGTGGCGGTGAACTGTTAAGTTGATTTTTCAAAAGATCATATGGATATTCAATTCATATTCACCCCAACTTATTCGAACATTCTTTCGAAAATTTGAGACATTGTTTAAAAAATCCTGTACAGAGATATGTCTGATGACAACTAATAATACGCAATTCAGGCAGTACTAGAAATTAATTCTGATTACTAATCACGTTTATTTATCGAAAAGTTGGATACTTGAACGTGTATTAGACGAGCATGGTTGTAGTACTGTCGCATGTCCTTCAGTTCCATCTTAATTTTCAAAGTGAATGTTCCGGCGAAGTACTATGGAAAGAAATGTCCGAACGGAACAACACCGTGGAGGGGACGATGTTCAGTTCGTCTTAGCCACATAACCGCCGTTGTTGATACTATTAACTTACGGCTTTCTCAATTTATCCAGTACATGACATAGGAAATTAAATATTATATTACAATGGCGCAGTATCTAGTTTTATGCGTATATTTAATACGAATATTATTTCTTAAATCTTTCAAAGCAGAATGATCCAACACTTCAGACGTCAAACCCCAAACATCGCAAAACTAT